ATTTCTTTTAGCTTTTAACATTTTTTTTGTCTTTGTGTTCAGCATCTTGACTATGATGTGTTCAAGTATGTTTTGCTTTGTATTTAGAAGTTCTAGTTTCTGGAATATGAGACTTACAGTTTTTGGCCAGTTTTGAAAAAGAATGCCGCCATTATCTCATCAAATGTTGCTTCCATCCACATCTCTCTCTCTCTTCACTCACCAGCACTCTGATGTTAGATGTTTTCATAAGATCCTATGTGTCTCTTACTCTTTCATCTGTTTTTCCCAACATCTTTGCTCTCCATGTTTCTGTTTGATATTTTCTATTAGCCCATCTTCTAGTTCACTAATTTTGTCTTCAGGTATAAGAAATACATTGCTAAACACATCTATTACAATGCTTTAATGATTGTGCTTTTTTAGTTGTAAACTTTCCATTTAATTTCTCTATTAATAGAGTTCAGTTCTCTGGTGAAATTCTCCATTTTGTCATCTTTTTTCTTGGACGAAATAAACAATTATTTTTTAAGTTGATCTCTCATAACTCTAATATCTGGCTTACCCATGGGCCTATTTCAGTTGTCTTCCTTTCTCTCTTAGTTCTTGGAATGTCTAGTAATTGCTGTTAAGAATTTTATATAAAAAATTGTAGTCTCCAGATAATACTATTTTCCTCTAGAGAGGACTCACCTTATCTTTTATTCAAGGAGCTAGAGTGGGAAGAGATTACATCTATTCAATCCAGCACTTGGTTTTTTGGAGACCAAGTTGGAGTTTTTATACAATTTTGTCTACCTCATGTTTGCCTCCTCTCCTTAGGGTATAGATCTTCAGAGGTCCAAAAGAAAGTCTGCAGATATTTATTGGGATTCCTTCATGGTGGGCCCTAAACTTGATACTACCAAAAATCTGGCTTTTCTTTATAGCTACACTCTCATCTTTAGGTAGCTTAAGAATTAGCAAATCCTGGGGCACCTGGGTGGCTCAGTTGGTTAAGTGTCCAACTCTTGGTTTCAGCTCAGGTCATGATCTCAGAGTCTTGAGTTCAAGCCCCGCATCAGGTTCTGTGCTCAGTGGGGAGTCTGCTTGAAGATTCTCTCCCTCTGGCCCTCCCCCAACTCTCTCTCTCTCTTTCTTGCAAATAAAAAAAAAATCTTTTTAAAAAAAGAAGTAGCAAATCCCATAATATGAAATTAAGTGCTAAGTGTGGAGCTCATTTCCTGGCACCCTCCCTTCTCTCAAGGATTCTGCCACCCAAACCCTTGCTATCCTGGCAGCTCTGAACTGCTTTTAAGAACTTCCCTCATTATATTTAGGCTTTAACATCAGATATATGTGGGAGATGCCTATATATAATACCAAAAAATGACAAAATATACTTACTCAGTTTCCCCCGTTCTCTGGTTGAAAGGAAAAAAAAATCTCATTTAGGCATGTTCTTTACTGTACCCTTACACATGAGGAAGGTGGTTTCCTCCTCCTCAGAAGCATCTATGTCTGTGAAACTGTATCTTAATCCTCTAAGAACACCCCTGTCATTGTTATGATGGTACTCGTAAATGGTTTTGTGAATGGTTGTACAGGATAAAAGAGTAATAAGCATTTCTTTCCCCTTCTGGGGTCATGTTTGCCCAATAAGATGTAACAATAATAGTCATAATAATACCCGCTAAAATTTACTAGGCATTTATTATGGGCCAGGTTCTATGTTAGGTGTTTTATTTAGGCTGTCTCATTTAATCCTCAGAAGAGCCTAGGAGGTAGTAATGGCAAATTTCCTAATTTACGCTTAAGGAAACTGAGGCTTCAAGAGGTTAAGTCTTAAACAAGATCCCAGAGCCAGGAAGTAAATGGCACAAGCAAGTTTGAACCAGACTTTTCAAACCCCAAGGTCTATATTTTTCCAACATTTTGCCCTACCTCTTGACTTGTTCTCCTTCAGCATAAGCAGTCTCACTATTTTACTGAGCCCCAGAATTCGGAGATATTTCCTTAAATAAGGTAAAAGCCAGATAGTCTGAGGAGTTTATATGCAAAATAAATCTCCCTGGTTCATTTCTCACAGGTATTTCTAGATCCTTCCCTTCCCAACTCAGTCTTACTTTGATATATATTTTACATTAAATATTTCCATTTATAATTTCTATGGCAAATCTGAAAGTAATTTTTTAAAATAAAGCTTTATGCAGGGACAGGAAGCAATTAGTGGTGGGGCTTTATTTTTAGAGGATGAGATAGGTGGGGGTAGGGTATGAGGAGAAATTGCTTTCTGCAGTGTCAGATGAGTTGAGTGAGTTATAGGAAATGATAGCTCAGCCGGGCAACTTGGTGCTTGCCAGTGAGTCAGCAGTGATTTCATCCTCAGCCTCAATGCTGGAATCACAGATGCGAGAGACACCTTTCCTGGTGAGGGCCCCTCCCTGTCCTGCTGTCTGGGACATCAAGATTCTGCCCACATGATGTGAACCATTCAGTTATCTGTCATGGTGGAGAAAGATTCACAGAACCGTCTGCCTCTTGTTTTCACACAGATATTTCTAAGTTTCTTTAGGATTGATTGGTGCTCCTGATTTTTTCCACTGACACCCCAGGAGAAGCACCCAGTGACTTTCCATCCAGAGGATGAAGTTTGGAATTGATGTCATAACAGCATGTTGTTCTTATGGCAACATTTCATGTGTTTATACTACTTCAACTTTCCAGGGTCTGTATAAATGGCGAAACATGGAAGCACGATGGAAAAGTGAGACAGGAAGACTCTGCTTTAGGAGAAGTCGTACATTAAAAGAGGTCACCTTGTCATCATTGAAAATATGTGCATGTGACAGGAAGACTAGAACCAAATCATTACAGTTGTTGTGTTAGGATGGTCAGATTGACAGTGATTATTTTTTACCTTCTTTTCTAGGTTTAATAAATAGGCTCAAGTTGTGAAAATTATTCTAAAGATAATCCTTTTGTATTTTAAAATAACTCTCTGTGGGGAAAAAATGGCCAAATAGTTTTAATATTTTAGGACATCTTTTTCCCAGACTCTGCCCAGATTCTTCGGTCAAGGTCATGTGCATGGTGTTCAGTAGGGAATGAGTCAGGAGATCTAACTTTGCTCAGAATTTATAGGAGCCAGACATTTACTTCCTTTTCACCCAGTGGAAGGTGGTATTATCCCCATGTTATAAATAAATAAATGAACACTCAGAGAGACAGAAGAAGCTTCCTCAGGTCAGTCAGCTAGTAATTGTGGAGTTCCAACCAAGCCCAAGTCAGACTACTGCCAACAACCACACTTTTTTGACTTGAGTACAAAATGATGCTGCCACGGGTCCCACTCCACCATGCTTTTTGCGGAGCATTTTCGATGTGTTAACTTACTGCTGAATTAATCCTCCATCAAGAAAAAATGTATTGCAAGATTGTTCTCTCTTTTGCAAAACTAGGATTCTAAAATTCACGTATACTCGGTTTTTACTTTAGTTAGAAAGACAAACATTGAGAGCATTGCATAGCTTACATACCTGTGCATCTGTGTGTTTGGCATTAAGAAGATAAAAGAGGCACAGTAAGTACCCAGTTGAGTAGTTGGACTCACCCAGAATTTGAAGTGATTCTCATGATCTCTCCTAAAGTTCTTAGGTAGATGAGACTGTAGATAAAGCTAACTGCTCTATGGTTCAGTATAGTAGCTGTGAGGGATAATTATGGCCGAGGACGCGGTAGTATTGTTGCAAAGTAGAGCATTTACAGTTTCAAAAAAGCCATCCCATTGGCCCAGCAGAGCCCTAATTTTCTTGTTTAATAAATTAATAACAGCTAAAGATTTTTTAAATTTTTTGATGGGTAATGTGCAACTAATGCTTAATATTATGCTCAACTAATGTTGAGATGCTGACATAAAATATATTGCACATTGTAAATGTACAATTTGAGAAAATCTAACATATGCATGCACCTGTGAAGCATCATGTCAATAAAGATAATGAATATATTCATTAGTCCAAAAAGATTTTTTGTAATGCTATATTTTTGAAGGAAAAAAAAAAAACCAGTCACTTAATTTCATCATTTAATTTGATGAAAAGAGCCCGGATGGAGACTCAGGTGATGTGAGTCTGTACCCTGATCATGCTCTAAATAGCTCCCTGAAATTCAGTGAGTCCCTTAATTTTTCTAGCCCATGGTTTTCTCATCTGAAAAATGAGGGGGTTGGACTAGATGGTCCCTAAGGCTCCCTACGGTTCTAAAGTTCAATAAAGCTAAGAGGCCAGGCATACTTAGGGTATTGGTTTGTGTCCAAATGGTTTTATGTAAAAAGGTAGACTTCCCCAGTGGTCTGGTGTCAGCTGTGCTGCTTCCGTCCTGTCCTGCTTAATTGGTAGATCGTGAAATCATTTCATTTCTTTTCATTCTCTTTCACCCTGATTCAATGTCATTCATGTCCTTGCTTCCATGTTGGTCTTAGTAAACTAAGGGAACTGTTCTACTTAAGAATTTAGGGCTAAGGCTTGAGTAATGCTGGGAATTTGGCAATGCCTTTAGCAAGGATCTGATGAGGGGCGACAGGACCATCAGCTCCCTGGATATTTGTGAGACAGCTTGGGCATTTCATGGGGGGGGGGGGTGCAGAGACAAGCTGTACTGGATGTATTTCAGGCTGGGGGAAGGGAAGCAGATTGGAGTTTAATTAAAATTCTAATCCCAACTTAGCCCATCTTCTTGCCAAGTCAGCAGCCAGCATTTCTGTTTGTGGTTCTGGTGGTCTTGCTGTGATGACATACATAGTTACCTCAAAAACTCCTGCAAATGTGCCTAAAACTTCCATATACTCACCAGATGCTTTAATCAGAGCTGGCATGTTGCCATCTTTGGCCTGTGTTTTCAGAGATACCTCACCCACTGCTGCCAGGGCTCCTGGTGGGAGGGGGGCACCGGAGAGAGCTTGTGGTGAAAATTGAACTGATTACAAATGAGAAAGTTTCATCACAGCATAGAGATCTTTCCAAATTGTTTCTGTTTTCCAGGTAGCTAAGTGGGATTTCTGAGGAGGGGCTGCTCTGACTTCATCTTGGCCCACCATGAGGTTCTTCCTGCTTTGTGCCTACATGCTGCTCCTGATGATTTCCCAGCTGAGGGCAGTCAGCTTTCCTGAAGATGATGAACCCCTCAATACAGTTGATTATCACTGTAAGTAATCTAAAGAGCATTCTTCTTTTCTGAGAAGGGAGCTTTCTTGGTTTTGATCCTCTACGTGTATTTGTTTTTAGAAAGAGAGTTTTATATGTCTCAAAACTGTTTTTGCATATTAATTGATCCAGAGCCCTTTCTTAGTGTTTGGAGAAAATGGGACAGCTTTGTTGGTTGCTTTTCTAAAGCAACCCATATATAGGTTATATATTTTCTGTTAAAAGAAAAAGACCATTTGCTAACATTCACCATCTTTTATTCATTTGTATTCAAGACCTTAAGAGAGGAATTTAGTTAAAACCCTTCTACAACTAGTATATACAGCTAATCAATGCTGTATATTGATTCTTCAGCTCCATAATCCTGACTGATAGTTTAGCCCATTTTTACTTGCAGATTCAAGGCAATATCCGGTTTTTAGAGGACGCCCTTCAGGCAATGAATCCCAGCACAGGCTGGACTTTCAGCTGATGTTGAAAATTCGAGACACACTTTATATTGCTGGCAGGTAATTTTCCTCTCGTTGGTTTATTAGATTAAAATTCTTTTCTCTTGTGGTGCTTGCATTAATGTGTCTAGTTCATGAAAAACTAATATGTGATTGTGATCAAAAATTGCAAGTAGCCAAAAATAATCACTGAGAAGAGTCAGTGTTGTGTTACCAGGAACAAATACAGAGCTAAAGCCTTCAGCAGTGCTATTTTATTACTGCCATCAAGCAATCATACACCATTCTTTATTCCTAAAGCAGCAGGGGGAAAAAAAATCTTTCTTTATTCTTTTTTAACTTGGAATTATTCAAGCAAATATTAGAAGTATGTCTATGCTAATACCAAGTAGCCGTTTGACCTATGCCTGAAGAGAAGAGCTTTCTTTGCTCCCTAACCACAGTGATATATAAAAGCATCTCACTAATGAAAAAGTACTCTTTGTTGACTTTGTTGGAGACAGAGAAAATCCAAATGATCTCCAAAATACAATAAAGGCAGATCTGTAAAAAATAAAATAAGAAGAAGCAGCTTAACACTTTTATGCATTCACATGATATGACTTACTGGCTTGTTTCCAACAGGGATCAAGTTTATACAGTAAACTTGAATGAAATCCCCAAAACAGAAGTAATACCGAGCAAGGTGAGCAAGTGAAATTTATTTGCATTCCCTCAGAACTTGGATAATGTCTCCCTCCCGTCCAAAAAGTTTCACTTAAAATACCGAACTTTGGTTTTGCTTGGTTAATACAGAAACTGACATGGCGGTCAAGACAACAGGACCGAGAAAACTGTGCTATGAAAGGCAAACATAAAGTAAGTAAAACAGACGAGTTATCTGCCAGAGTTAGTCTTTATGTGGGCTTCACCCAACAATGTCAGCATATGGAATGTCTAATAGTAATTTAATTATTACTTTCTTTAGGATGAATGCCACAACTTTATTAAAGTATTTGTTCCAAGAAACGATGAGATGGTTTTTGTATGTGGTACCAATGCATTTAATCCCATGTGTAGATACTATAGGGTGAGTATATTTCATATGGTGTGCTTTTTTTATCAACTTTTCTTTCTTCGCTGTCATGCTGTTAGAGTTGAATCCTTTCTGCTATAACCCATTTATCTCTAATGCTATGGAAGAATAAAGACAAAATTCTTCAAATAGAATTTCGGTACAAATAAAGCAGTATTGCCTTCAAACAGGTACATTGAACAGATGTGACACCAGCTATTTATTTTTCTTTTATAGTTGAATACCTTAGAGTATGACGGGGAGGAAATTAGTGGCCTGGCAAGATGCCCATTTGATGCCAGACAAACCAATGTTGCCCTTTTTGCTGGTAAGATCCTTTAGTGTAATGAATATAAATGATTAATGACATTGAAGGTAAAAGGGAATTTAAAGGAAGAAAAAAGCTCATAAGTGGGGCAGCTACCTTGTTATAGGTGTTTCATAGTCTAGGAGCTAGGAAAAAAATTTCCAAAAAAGAGGATTTAAAAGTGAGCATATTATAAGTATTCTGACACTGGGCTCTGTTGTTAACTAGGTCAATGACCCTGAATAAGTGGCTTAGCTTTTTGATACTTAGATCCTTAATCTGTAAAATGAAGTGATACCAGGGGGCAACCTGTCACAGGTTGATTATGAGCATCAGGTCTAGGTCGATTTGTATATATAGGGATAACAGGTGAAAGCACTCCAAAAGGTATAACATACTACATAGGGTAACACACTACCGGATAATTATGGTTATTTTACCCAAGTTATAATTCTGGTTTCAGATGGGAAGCTGTATTCTGCCACAGTGGCTGACTTCTTGGCCAGCGATGCTGTTATTTATCGAAGCATGGGTGATGGATCTGCCCTTCGTACAATAAAATATGATTCCAAATGGATAAAAGGTACCCTTGAAAAGCAGCGTTGTGGGATTGCCAAGGGTAGTGGGATGGCCAAATGGGACCAGGAGCCATGGCATCAGGAGGCTCAGTGCATGACTTTCTGTTATTTATTTAGAGCAAGTACAAGTTGCTTTGGTTGTAAGCGGGAGCATTGACAAGGAAAGAGGAAATAAGTTGCCATGTCAGGAAAGTAGATTCATCTACGGTTATATCCCAGTTGACCTCAAAAAAGAAAGAGCTCATTTCTCTGTGCCAATTTGCCTACCTCTGAATACACATAATGTTCCTTGTCCACTCCCATCTACCTATCCTCCAGAGTTAGCACTGATTATCAATTAGTTCATCTCCGCAGAGCCACTTTGTTCTTTGGAGTCTAGATACCAAGATTTTTCATTCTCCATGTAAGAAGTTTTCTTCCCTAGTTAAATAGGTTAATGAATAAATCTGCTGAAACAAAGACCTTTGCTGTAGTTCAGTTCCCATAGGCTTTTTACAGTCCATTAGCTGACATGAAAGACGGTAGGTTCCTTGAAGCTTCAACACACCCATACTGGGACTCCTTGAGTGCGTTGGCATATTGGGGTTCTCACTAGTTTGTGTGTAGCTATGTGTCGTCTGTCAGTCATGCCGAGCAGCCGGGGTCTTGTGCTAATTGAACTATCCTTTAGGAACCAGTTTGTTTTCGATTTCTCTTTCAGAGCCACATTTTCTTCATGCCATAGAATATGGAAACTTTGTCTATTTCTTCTTTCGAGAAATTGCTGTGGAACATAATAATTTAGGCAAGGCAAGTATATGCACTTGACTTGTATCCTGGACTTGTACTGCAGGGAATTGAGCCCGCTTTGGTAGAGTTATGCTGTTTGCGTGGTTTCCAGCACTCAGTGCATTTAGGGCCAAGTGCAGAGAAGTGAATTGCTTATCATGAGAATAATTGCTGGAAAACACCTGAACAATGGCCAGCGTGAGAATAGCAACCTTAGGCCTTGAGATGGTTTCATTTGTTCTGTCACCGCCGAGAGTGTTCTACAGGCACCCTTGAGCTATGGATACTTCTTTACCGCTTTAGAAATCTGTTGATCGTTTGTTCTCCCTCAGCATCAAAAGGCAGGATGGAAAGTAGAGGCCCCTATTCAATTTTGAGGGCTTCAGTAAAAGCCCGTATAATTTTAAAGCATCGCAGCCTCGTTTTGCCAAGTTTAAGGATGGCACATTTCATTAGCGATATAAGAGACCAGGTGGGAGACCAAGTGTGGGGATGGTTCGCATTCCCCCAGCCAGATCGACAGCTTACTTCTTGGGGAGCTCGTTTGGCAGAACAGGAAAATGGCCCTCTTTTCTCCCAGGTAAATCTTCTTACCGGACAAATCCCTAGAGAGAAGATTGCTAGATTCTTTCGAGCCAGACGTATCTTTAGCACTCTTGTGTCCCTCCCTTAAATAGCAACTTTTCCTTTCCGTTCCCCCTCCCTGCGCATAACCCTGTGGCTTTGCTCTCGTCCCCCGGGCAGGCTGTGTATTCCCGTGTGGCCCGCATCTGTAAAAATGACATGGGTGGCTCCCAGCGGGTCCTGGAGAAACACTGGACTTCATTTCTGAAGGCTCGGCTTAACTGCTCTGTCCCCGGAGATTCGTTTTTCTACTTTGATGTTCTGCAGTCTATTACAGACATCATACAAATCAATGGCATCCCCACTGTGGTCGGGGTGTTCACCACACAGCTCAACAGGTGAGAACCGAGCCCTGGCACTTCTCAAGCTGTTCTGTGCATGCTTCTGGGACCCAGGAGTGGGCCTCCTGTTGTTGGATGCTTTCCCTGATGCTGTCCCCCTTTGCAGCATTCCTGGGTCTGCAGTGTGTGCATTTAGCATGGATGACATTGAAAAAGTATTCAAAGGACGGTTTAAAGAACAGAAAACCCCAGATTCTGTGTGGACAGCAGTCCCCGAAGACAAAGTACCGAAGCCAAGGTAAAGAAAAAAAAGACAGAAAGTGGTTTTTGTCTTTAACAAAACCCTCTGGTCACTGGAAGCATCCATCCTCAGAGAGCAGGGGGACCAACCTCCCGTGCCAGGAAGGGGTCCCCGGGGGGGGGGCGGCGAGGGGGCACTGCAGACAGAGCCAGTCCACTGAGCCCCGCGGGGGTGAATGCGGAGAGCCTTCTGAGCGCAGGGAGAGCGCGCTACTCCTCTGGTTTTGCCCATTCTCCTTTCTTTCTCAGCCTCTTCTTTCAGAATGGACACTTCTCCCTTAGATACAGTTTGGGAGGGGGAAAAACACACTGTTTTCCTTTCAGGCCTGGCTGTTGTGCAAAGCATGGCCTTGCCGAAGCTTATAAAACCTCCATCGATTTCCCTGATGAAACCCTGTCGTTCATCAAATCCCACCCGCTAATGGACTCTGCCGTCCCACCCATTGCCGACGAGCCCTGGTTCACAAAGACCCGGATCAGGTAATACGGCTGGAACTGCAGCCCCTCCCCTCTCACACCTTCTCTTCCCATTGCCCCCCCCCCTCTGACTTGGCCTACCTCCTCTGGCAGGTACAGACTGACGGCCATCGCCGTCGACCACACTGCTGGGCCCCACCAGAACTACACAGTCATCTTTGTTGGCTCTGAAGCTGGCGTGGTGCTTAAAGTTTTGGCAAAGACCAGCCCTTTCTCTTTGAATGACAGTGTATTGCTGGAAGAGATTGAAGCATACAACCATGCAAAGTAGGTGCATTTTACGAGAAGGCTTTTCAGCGCGGCTCGAAACTTTCCGGCGTGTATTTCATCTAGTAATTTCCTTTGCGCCCCAGAAATTAGCAGTGGTTGGGCATATTAGTGTTTGGTTTGGTTTTGTCTGTCCTTAGTGAAATAAATCCTGAGTTTGTTGTTTTTCCTGAGTCCACTAGGGCTAGGATGGTGGGCAGCGGATTAGTTTAAAAATAATTCAGCCCTCATTTATCCCACCTATGGGCAGTGATAACGTGTTAGTAGCCACCCCTGATGCCCCGCAGGTTTATTTTCGGCCGCTGCCTGCAGCAGGCAGTTGTTGCAAGTATGCACATGCGCACGCTCACAATACAAGTCTTCCAACCACTGATACAAAAGATAACTGGACCATTGAAACAAACAAGTAGGTGAGAGAAATGGAGCAAAGGAGACTACAAAGAGATCAGAAACATCTAGCCCAGCAAGATTTAAGTGCATTGAAACCCTGGCCTTTTTCTTTCCCTTTGGTCTAAAGTGGTCTTCACAAACACAGTTCCCTTCCGTCACCAGAACAAGAAAGCAATCTTAAATAAAAAAAACAACCAAACTTTGTCCAACCTGAAGTTTAACCAATTCTGCAGAGTAGCAGAAGATCAAACACAGAATTATTACTTCCCAAACTATGTACTTAACTGGTTTGCTACTGAGAATATCCCTCAGGATCTCCCAGCTCTTAGTAATTGCAAAGCCAAACCCCACTTGCCTTGCATATTTCGTGTAGCTTTCGACTTCCTAAACACAGGGCTTCAAATGTATCCCCAAATACAGGTGTAATGCTGAGAATGAGGAGGACAGAAAGGTCATCTCATTACAGTTGGATAAAGACCATCACGCTGTGTACGTGGCATTCTCCAGCTGCGTTATTCGCCTCCCCCTCAGTCGCTGTGAGCGTTACGGATCCTGTAAAAAGTAAGCTGATGTTTCTTTCCTTACCATGGGTCTTGCAGCGTCGTGACCTTTGATGATGAGAAAATCCAAGTTCCATTCTGTTTGGTTTTTATACAGGTCTTGTGTTGCATCTCGGGACCCGTACTGTGGCTGGTTAAGCCAGGGCACCTGTGGCAGAGTGACCCCAGGGATGCTGTAAGTATGCTCTGTCACATTAGCCAGGATCTTCGGAGAGCTGCCTCTGTCTTCTCTGGGGTCTCTAAAGCTAGACATTTAAGAAAAATTCCAGTAATACTACTTTTGTTCTTTTCTTCCTCTCTTTTCTTTTTTTGATATGGGAGAAGTAAAAAAGAAAAGAGAAAAGAAAATATCAGATCTGGGGCTGTAATAAGGAAGGGAGATTGTAGACAGGATAATACCTGAGGGAAATGGATGGAGAGAACAAACAATTCTCTCTCCTCTCTTAAACATTCTAGTGGCCAGATGTTGAAAGAAGAAATACTCGTTTTAGCAAGCTGTGTTGAAATGTCCATTTTTTTCTCTCCGCCCATTCTTACTAATCGGTCTGTGTTCTTGGTTCTGCTCTGGTTGTCACTTGTGTCCCTATGAAGGCTGTTAACCGAAGACTTCTTTGCTTTCCATAACCACAGCGCTGGAGGATATGAACAAGACACAGAATACGGCAACACGGCCCACCTAGGGGACTGCCATGGTAAGCCCGGATCTTCCTTCTCCTTCTGGCAGTTCTTTTTGACCACATTTGCACGTGAACATTATTTTACAATCAGCCTTTTAATGGCTCAGGACACATACCACCTAGCATTTAACTTAAACTTCGCAAAAGCTGAGCTGTTTGGTCATGGGATGCGTTAGAGAAGAATCTTACTTTTTTTTTTTCCTTCACCGTTTACAGTTTTGTAGAAAATCTAGAGAAAGGTAGTCTAACCAGCAGGTTAATCTTTTAATTTATAGTCTTTTCTTTTGACTTTTTTAGTTAATTGGAATTCATAAATTTTGCTTTCTTTTGGTTACTTTTTACTGATTACTTGTTCCTTTAATTCTTTTAGAAATTTTGCCTACTTCAACTACACCAGATTACAAAATATTTGGCGGTCCAACATCTGGTTAGTTTTTTTTAATTTTTTTGAATTAACAACCTTTTCTTTCCTTCAGTTCAGCATTTTCAGCCCCTTCTCCCCTCCTTTTGCGCAGTTTGGCAGCCTTTCATGTTTCTGCTTTGACTCATAATCCCACCGATGGTACTGAAACACTTTTTCTTACTCAGCACTCCACCCCTGTGTAGCATGTTAACAGTTCATCATTGACCAAGGCACATCCCGTAAGAAAAATCAAATGGATTCACGTAGACTGCATTCCAGCTGCACGCCCGCCCACCCAAGCTTTTCTTCTCTCTCACCCCTGTGCATTGTGGATGCTCCCTCTGGCCATCTATACTGAATGGATGGCAGAATTTCATTGTTTCCCCCTTCTCTCCTCACCTCTCCTAAGGCCTAGTAAACAAATACACATTTCCCCAAAATGTGTATTTATACATTTTGGACGTCTTTTTTTGAATGGTTTGCAGTGAGCCCGGGAATCTTTGAATGTTGTGGTCTCGGTGGTGTGCAGAAGGCTCCCGTTGAATGAAGCTGGTATCTGATGTATGAAGGTGTTCAGTGGGCTCTCCGTGCCCGTCTGTCTGTATCTGTTTTGGAGTCTTCATCTGCAACCATTGCACCAGTCTGAACGGGGGTCTCCAGAATTTTAACCTAAAGCCGTATGCTTACATTCTGAGGGAAAATCTACTTTGTGGAAATCAGTAACACACGTGCTAAGAGGTTCAGCTCCTTCCGGTCCTCCTGCTGCTTCTAAAGCTCACAGCAGTTTCATTCCTCAAAAGGGAGAAAAGGACGCCAGATCTTATGTATCAGCGCATCCTTATTCAGTTTATAAATGCCATTTCTTTTGCATGAGTTGTTGCTAATTCTTTGGAAGAAATTCCCTGAGCATGTTGAAAAGCCCAGGTGAGGTTCCTCCCTGCTTCGGTGCTTTACCGCGGATGGTGGGAGGCCTCACTGCACAGACGGACGGGAGGTCCGTGGTAGACACACAACAACCTGCTCCAGTGGGTCAGAAGTCAAGTGTTCACACAGGTGTTTCCTGACGAAGTTGCCCTGTAGGTTCCCCAGTGAAGGATCCACCGTCTCCAGCCGTCCAGGACAATGCTTTTAGACATAGACACAAAAAGAAATGAACTGATCCCATCTCACAAAAAGACGAGAAAGTAGCAGTTCATCTTTGGGATTTGTATTACCTTTTCCACGAGGGTCATTCATCACATAGGGGCTTCGGTAGGAGCGTTTTCAGCGTCTCTAGTTTTGAAATCCGCTTAATTTGTCTTTATGGTTAATTTTTAGTTTTTCTTTTTCCCTTGCAAGAAAGAGGTTTCGTATAGTCTCTTTGAATGTGTTTTTTTAATGAAATCCTAGAACAGGCTTTCTCATAAAATTGATTGAAACTTTACTTAAAAATGCAACAGGTCAGAGAAATCTATCAGCACTGCCCGCGTTAATAAAAATCTGTTTGCCACCACAGACATGGAGGTATCTTCATCATCTGTTACCACAATGGCAAGTATCCCAGAAATTACACCTAAAGTGATTGATACCTGGAGACCTAAACTGACGAGCTCCCGGAAATTTGTAGTTCAAGATGACCCAAACACTTCTGATTTTACTGATCCTTTATCAGGTATCCCAAAGGGTAAGGCCTCACCAGGGAACTCATCTCTTGCTGAGTGGAAACCTGATTCCTGATATCTCTGAGAAGCTGGTGGATGTAGGGTTTCTCGGGGGTGGACTGACACAGCTCTGCTGTTATTCACGCCACCTCCCCTGGCTGCCCTCACTCCGGTTTCTGTGCTTGTATGGAGTGCGTCCCTTCACAGACCAAAGAGGTGGAAAGCTGTGAAAGAAAGGGTTGAGAAGATGGCCCTTCAGACAATCTAGTCTGTGTTGGTTTCTGCCTGAAGACGCTGAGAGGCTGCTCAGTGTCAGAGAATTTCCAGGACCACCCCAACAACATCAAAACACCAAACTCATTAATTACAAATATCCTGGTATCAGATGTTTCGTCTAATAGCCTTTCCCAGCCTTCTGTTTAGCTTCGATTCCATATGCAATATGAAAAGGATATGCAAGGCGCTAGTGAGTTGCTTGAATGTCACAAGCAATAAAACATAACAGAGCACTTGTCCATAACTATCACTTTCAGCCCTTAATAGAAGCAGTTATAAAACAGCTGCCTGGTGAACTAGCTTAGTAGACCTATTACTCCGGGAAAAAAAAAAAAAATCTCTTCTTTGGTGCTTAGCAAACTATGGTATCAGGTTTCCAATCAGTTTTTATGCCAGTACATTGTCATTTATGATTTACGTCTGTTGATTTGGGTTTTACACGTTTTCATTGTAAACAGTTTTATAATCATTCTTTCTGTTTTGTTTCCTTCAGTAGTATCATTTCCTTCTACTTTTCTTTCTTTGTCTTTCTGAGTGCCGCTGAATTCCATAATCCCAAACATTGATTAAAAGCAACTAATGTTCAAAGGCCTTAGTACTAACCTAAAGCAACAGAATCTTCAAAATTACTCTGATTTAACCTTATCCTGGGATAGCAGTGCTTACAGCATGTAACAGACTTGGATACCTCTTGAACTAACATTTCTTTGACTGACTGTTAGATGTCTGTGGTTGCATTAAAAATCCCAACAATTACAAACTAATCCACTCTTCTTCTAGTCTAACTTAAATATTTCTTAAATATCTCAAGACAATTGGATAATATCACTTAACTACATATTATACTTCTCTAGACTCTCTGGATTTCTTTCATAGCAAGCAATTCAAGAGTAATTCACTCCAAGATGGAATGAAAAAAAAAGATCGAAGCAAACATGGAAGTCCGTGTTTGTAGCTAGCAACGACCAAGCAGGCGCTTTTTGTTTGTGAACCAGTTGTGTGTCTTTTCTAGTTAAGATAGCATAGTTATTTTAGCATACTTATTTTAGCATAATGTACATTTATGCCAACCCATACATTTTCCTAATTCCAGCAGTTGCCCAGTAATCCTGACTTACGAATTAGGAGAAAATCATGAGACAAAACACTTCGAAGCATTTCTAAATTGGCCATTTAGAAAATACGTACTTTCTAACCCTAATTTTTAGACCCCCAAACTCTTAAAATTTTGAATGTTAGATAACAACTACTTAGAAGGGATTTGGGGGAAAAACACACATGCATACGGATCAGTGGGAGATCAGAGTTATCCTGGCATTTGCAGCAATCGTATATGTCTCTGGGGATCCGATCATGACTCAAGAAAAATATATAGATGAGAATTTGAGAGTCTCCCTGACCCTCCAGGCTAAGCATATGGACCATGAGAAGGTAGTATTGGCTCAATGGAAGCCATTTGCTGGCTCATATCGTTGGAAAGAAGCAGCTCACTCAGACTCTGTTTCTGCGTGTCTGTTGCAGGTGTGCGATGGGAGGTCCAGTCGGGAGAGTCCAACCAGATGGTCCACATGAATGTCCTCATCACCTGTGTCTTTGCCGCTTTTGTTTTGGGTGCGTTCATTGCAGGTGTGGCAGTATACTGCTATCGTGACCTGTTTGTTCGGAAAAACAGAAAGATTCATAAAGATGCAGAATCTGCCCAGTCGTGCACAGACTCCAGTGGAAGTTTTGCCAAACTGAATGGTCTCTTTGACAGCCCGGTCAAGGAATATCAACAGAATATCGATTCTCCCAAATTGTACAGTAACCTGCTGACCAGTCGGAAAGAGTTGCCTCCCAACGGAGATACTAAATCCATGGTGATGGACCATCGGGGCCAACCTCCCGAACTGGCTGCTCTCCCCACGCCTGAGTCTACACCTGTGCTTCACCAGAAGACCCTGCAGGCCATGAAGAGCCACTCAGACAAGGCCCATGGCCATGGGCCTTCAAGGAAAGAAACCCCACAGTTCTTCCCTGCTAGTCCACCACCCCATTCCCCATTAAGTCACGGGCATATCCCCAGTGCCATTGTTCTTCCTAATGCTACTCATGACTACAACACGTCTTTCTCAAACTCCAATGCTCACAGAGCTGAAAAGAAGCTTCAAAACATTGACCACCCACTTACCAAGTCATCCAGTAAAAGAGATCACCGGCGTTCTGTGGATTCCAGAAATACCCTCAATGATCTCCTGAAGCATCTAAGTGACCCAAACAGCAACCCCAAAGCCATCATGGGAGATATCCAGATGGCCCACCAGACCCTAATGCTGGATCCTGTGGGACCTATATCTGAGGTCCCACCCAAGGTCCCTAACCGGGAGGCATCACTATACTCTCCTCCTTCAACTCTCCCCAGAAACAGCCCAACCAAGCGAGTGGACGTCCCCACCACTCCTGGAGTCCCAATGACGTCTCTGGAAAGACAAAGGGGTTATCACAAAAATTCCTCGCAGAGGCACTCTATATCTGCAATGCCTAAAAACTTAAACTCACCAAATGGTGTTTTGTTGTCTAGACAGCCTAGTATGAACCGTGGAGGGTACATGCCCACCCCCACTGGGGCTAAGGTGGACTATATTCAGGGCACGCCAGTGAGTGTTCATCTGCAGCCTTCCCTCTCCAGACAGAGCAGCTGTATAAGTAATGGCACTCTTCCTAGGACGGGACTAAAGAGGACACCGTCCTTAAAACCTGATGTGCCACCAAAGCCTTCATTTGTTCCTCAAACCACGTCTGTCAGACCACTGAACAAATACACTTACTAGGTGTTATTCTCCGTGTGGCTTTATCCTGTCCATGTTGTTGAGAGGATGATGTTGTAAGGGTACCTTAAGATAAGAGACTCCCTTGTATTTTAAGAGAACCAAGTGGCCAAAGAAACTCTTTCTAACTTTGGCAACATCAGAACTTGCCACATGTAGCTACAACAGCAAAGCTTCTGTGTACTTGCCCGAAAACAAAGGAAGGTGCTGGTCATTCCATTTCTTTTGTTTGAAGCTAAAGAGATGTGTAGCTCCCAGGGGCTACCCCACCAGTAGAGAGAGCCGATACAGTACTCAGAAGAATCTGTGAGCAAATACTTGAAAATGGGTTCAACTTAGACTACCATTGTGTGTGGTCTTCCCATTAAATGTGAACATTTTAATTGTATGCATTCACCTTGCCTCTTGCACAAATGTCAAAAAACAATGGTAATGTCTCAAAGAAACGAACTTGTAGATTACCAAACGATTTGCTAAAAATTCAGTCTTAGACCCAAACTGTAGCATTTTTTTCAAGTGTGGCGTTTTTTTCATGCCACCAATGAACTGTGGTGCGTGTGCGTGCGTTTGTGCATATGTGTGTGTGAGTGTGTGTGTGTTCTCTACCCACTAGGATTTGTTTTGGTGCCCATTGCATCTTTTTGTGCTATGGACTTGTTTACATTGAGCATGACTGAACAAGAGACAATAACTTCTTCCCACAGCAGTCCATTGGGTTCAGCTTTGAGAAAAGAAACAAATAAAATCAAGGCTGATTTGACCATCAGAATGATTCACTTGACTCACATGGTCCCCAATGCCAGAATGTAAGAGTTCTAAGTAATTTTGTGCTGCTATTCATTAAAACTTCTATTACAGTCTTGCCAGCTTAAGGAGATAGAGATGTTAAGAGGTATCCTTGATTTATCAACCAGTATTCAGTAGTAAAATTTACCTGTCCACTGTGAATCCAAACCTGACTCACTGTATTTAACCTTGGACACACTAATAAGGTTTTATTTTGATGTTGTTTGGTTTCTCCTGTGTAGTATAATTTCTCTTCCTTTAACTCCTCCTACCCCCAAGATCAAAGAACAAAACAAAACAGAAGACAAAAGAAAGAGATGTGAAAGGATTTCTAATTGGCCTAACAGAGAGAGTCTCTGAAAACCGAACAGTGGTGCAATCATGTTGTCTATGTTGTGTTATATGAGAATTTTCTTTTAAGTCATGCAGGTAATGACAATATACTGTAAATATTACATGTGAGTTTACCTGAATCTGTGCATTTTGTGCCTTATTCATGAGAATGATAGAAGTACTAAAATATGTCAAGTGTTTTCAGTATAGCACATCATTTACCGAGTGCCAGTTGTAAATGTTTTTCAACCAGCACCTGAAAAGACTTTTAAAAAATCGTGAAAACAACCTAGAACAATTAATTGTCCAACAGTCCACCCAAATAGCAGCATTACATCCTTTGCCATGATAAACATTCCACTCCTGCTTTCCTAAGGATGAAACAGTGATAATGTGAAGTCAAATGAGGTTTCTCGGGTAATGTGACACCTACGGGAACCGTAGGGTCATTTATTCGTAGTTTTGCAGAAGCCACTTACAGTTGATGATGTGTAACCCTGATGACTGTTTCAGTTAATATGCTGCACACCACACCATGGTTTATTGAACCTAATCTAGAAAGTACCAACGCAGAGGAATGCTCCTGACTTAAACGAGTAAGTTCAACTGATTTTTTGTGATAACACTGATGATCTGTATCACTTGGGGGAGGATGGGTTGCAGAAGACCAGAGCATTTTTATACAGATTGTAGAATACTGATACAGTTATTCTTTTCCTTTGAGAATATTGTTTTATAAGGAACGTGATTCCCTGAGATCTCTGGAAACTCAAAAACTAGGAAGAACTTCTGTTCTTGAAACACGTCAGCTTTGCAACTAAAATATTACAGATTAATAATAAATTAAACCAACCAACGATAAATACTATTCAGTCCACCGCCAACAAACGTGTTTGAATTCACCTTACCAATATTAATCCCAGCGTGCGGAAAATGGAACAGTAACTCTGTGTGAACCCGGATAACATTTTGTAACATTGTGCTGCCTTGTAGTTTGTAATGTGAGTTCTATCGGTATTTATGTTGAAATTTCTAACATAAAATCTAGTCTCTATCCTGTTAATTTAATTTTTAAATGCTTTATTCATTTGTGCAAAGGTAAACACAGATTGTATCTTTTTTAATGGTACGGCATAAAAAGTAACCCTAAAGTGAAGTGGCTCTATACTGTTTTATAGAGTACTTTAACATGTATAGATATCTTGTAAACTTGTATTGTGGATGTGTAAATAATATGTACTTTGGGTTTTTAACACCGCATGTAAAGTCAAAATAAAATATACAAATCATTATATCCTGCCTCTTGATACTGAAGAGGTTTATGACTTACCATGTTTATTAGAGTCAATCAGCACCACTGAGAGTTTCTTTTAAAATGTACCAGAATATTCTTATCTGGAATATTTGCTACTTGGTCATGGTTCCGCCACTGTTCTCTTCTGGGGAAGCTGATACTGATCTCTTCTTGGGAAGCTGATACTGAAAGGCAGAGCCCCTGAGAAACTGAGAAATGAGGGCCCGATGAACTGCACCCCCATCAACAGGCAAATGCTTCAGGCAGACGTACCAGCGACTCGCCTTGTCCACACACCTAGTTCGACAGGCAGTTTTAAAATGCATGATTTGTATTCCCACGTGAAAATTTTGATGTCCTTTTAGTCCAAAATTACAGCTGGAAAACCAGGTTCCTGTGAACATTTCTTACTATTTGGTAGACGGCCTTTCTCCATCCCATTGTTTTAATCGAACAGACTACGTTAAGAGGTACCTTCCCCAAATATGGCAGTGGGAGACAAAATCATGATCCCATTTTAGGAGACAAAATTACGATTCCATTGGGTCCTGCCTTTAGCATGGGCTGAGCTGGTGGCGCCTGTCCTTGCCTCTTGGGGGTTTTGAAGGTGTCACGACACTTGCGGGAGAGACGACGGGAGTGTCTGTAGCAATCTCTGTGCCCTCGGTTCCAGCTGTGCTCCTGCCCCAAGCCCCTCTGTACCTCCTCCCTGGCCCTGTTTTCTCCCGGAGCCCCAGCAGCATCTCTGCAGAAATTGGAGCTGCCATACTCCTGTCCGGGGGCCTTGTTCTCCTTCGTGGTGTCATCTAATTAGGCTGCTGTATTTCACTATTCGTTCAGTGGTATTCCGGGGTCCTTTTTCATTCCTGTCATGGCGTAGTCCCATCTAGAGATGCGAGGGAGGGTTTGCAGGGATTCTCCCATGAGAGGAAAAGATTGGGGGGGGGGGCGGTGATTTGCCCCTTTGTACAGCTACCACCGCTACAGCTGGTAGTCAGTGAGCCGGTGCCTGCCACAGGTCATGGAACCTGACTTGGTACTCGAAACCCTGCCCCACCATCGCAGGAAGTCTGGGTCAGCCTGTAGCCCTTCTGCAGTGCTGGGGAAGGTGGAAGGTTTTCTCCCAACCCACTGACTTGCAGAAGTTGGTTTATAACTCTTAGGGTTTGGGCAAATGAAGGAAGGAAGAGACAATTAAGGAAACTCGATCTTCAATCTTGTTTCTTCCTGGGCTTCCTAACCATTGATTTCTCCTTCATTTACATTGCCTATTTCTATTAAATTGGTGGTTATTATGCCTTATGGTCATCATGCCAGTTTTTCTGGGTTTGGTAATTTTTTTTCCTTCTAAAAAGTGTATTTTTCTTGGGGTGCCTGGGTGGTTCAGTTGGTTAAGTGTCTGCCTTCGGCTCAGGTCGTGATCCCAGGGTCCTGGGATCGAGTCCCACATTGGGCTCCCTGCTCAGCGGGGAGCCTGCTTCTCCCTCTCCCTTTGCCCCTCCCCCCTGCTTGTGCTCTCTCTCTCTCTCTCTAGCTCTCTCCCTCCCTCTCTCTCTCTCAAAAAAAAAAAAAGTGCATCTTTCTCTTCTCCCTTTATAGGAGATTTCTCTTGGCTTTTTTCGATCATGGATATCTTTGATAATTTAATGAATAATACAAACTGGGAGCTGAATTTCATTTTCCTTTTCAGGGGATTTACAGACCCCTAAAACCACATCTGTGAATCCTCAAGATAAATGCTTAGATGCCACTTGAGAGATGTGGGATTAGGGAACTTGGAGCTTTTCATAAGGAAGACATCATAAAGGCACACTCAAAAAATAAATTAACCAGGACAGACCACCTGTACTCTCGTTCCAGAAATCCCATTGATTGGCATGTAGGTTACTCTGGGAAATGGCAATTTTGAAGCCATGGGGAACATTCGAGATGCCCATGTAGGCCAAGAAGAAAGAGTATCTCCCATCCAAGGTAGTGGGCCTTGGGTAGCCTGGGTGCTGGCCAGGTACCAGGAGGACTCGATTTCCTGCCGTCTTAGAGTGGCCATCTTTCTGTCTTCCCCTCCCAGCTCATCCTCCCCATCCCCTTTGTCAGAGCAGGGCAACAAAGGAGGTGTCCAAAATAGCCCTGGCTCCCATGTGGGAGCTGGGTTCTAATCCTGACTCCGTCACTCAGCAAATAACTTTGTGGCACTATACTTCTGTGGATTTCAGTTTTCTCATTTTTGGAAAGAGGTGGCTCAGCATCCATTTTGTTGACAGTTCTATGGTATCTGTCAACTCTACAATTCCATTACGTATTTTATGAATGCTATGCTTAAATATTACTCTTTCAATAGCTTGGTTTGTAGGCTTTTTATGGGTGTGTGAGGCCTGTTCCCTGTTAGATGTGAGATATATGTGAGATTAGCAATAAAATCAGGCATGATAAACAATGCACTTTAAGACATTCAGCTTGGGTCTATAGTTGATGTTTACCCTTTTTGCATATATAACATGCAAAATACTTAAATCTCTGCCAATGTTGCATTCTCTATCAAATAGATGTGATACCATAAACAAGAAGGAAATAGACCTATAATAAAATCAATCTTTAATTCACAGAGGAATGGGGGAGGTGAGAGGATGGGGTGGGGGACAGTCAAATCCTGGATATTCAGACTATGAATCAATTGGAATTCACATATAAAAGAAAATAGAATATTTTTAGACCCTGGCCCATGATATAATTCTTTTTAAAATGAGGTATTGATTACTGGTTGATAAATCTCTTTGTAACATGCCCTTTGGTTTATCTTAGCTTCTTATGCTGGGTGAAGGAAAGTATGAAAACATGACTTTGTTACATATGCACTGCTAGTTAGGACTCTTCTTCATTTTGTATGAGATGGACCCACGTGATGCTAAATATGGACTTGAGGCTAGATAGTGTAGTAGTGAGAGGAAAGATTTGTCAGTGTCAAGCAACCCAGTCCAGTGGAACTTTCTGTGATGGTGAAGATGTTCACATATGTGCTGTCCAATATGATAGCCACTAGCATGCAATATATGGCTTCTGAGCACTTGGAATATAGCCAATGCCACTGAGATGCTATTTTGGACACCACTGGTCCAGAAAGCCACTGCCCCTTCTGCCACAACTATTAGAGGTCAGACGGCTGCTCGGAATATAGCAATTCCAAGGCAAATTTGACTCTGATTAAAAGATGAGACACACCTTGCGCATTTTATATATCCACCTTGTGCTTCATGGTGAGCTGGGCTCACAATTGATCACCTAAT